CAGTAATGGAAATTTCATAGTCTGGTAAAAACTTTCTTTTTTTAAGGTTCAGATTAAACGGTCACCTACAATAACTTACTAATTTGAGTTTAAATTAAGCACCCACATTAAAAGATCAAGATGTTTTATTTATATAGCGCATTTCATGGACCAAGGTCACTTGGGTAGGGAAACCGGACACCCGAGGAATCCTATGCAGACACAGGAGAACCATGCCAATGACCCACACAGAATGGCCCCTGTTCCGACCGGATTCGAACCCAGGACCTTCTTGTCAGAAGCGAGAGTGCTATCCACTCAGCCCCGGGTGCCGCCACACTGTGAACCAGAGGGGAAACTTAATGTTTCTAAGACTGGACCAGAGAATATAAAGGGCTACGTTTTGGCTTGGCCCCTGTCGAATACGTTGGTAAAAATACAATACAGTGAGTTTTTTTGGTCAAATTAGTTTGTTCTAAAGTTGAATGCAGCGTTGCCATACCACATAGTTAAATGATCAAACGCAGATAAGATTTGGACCTCACTATAGCTCGGTGAACTGTTAAAACGACAACTCAAAATTGTTCACCTTACTCGCAGATTTTTGCATTCACATGACAATAAAATTTCCAGTTGAACTGGAACTATCTTGTGCGCCAATTGAACTTTCAGAAGTTCACTACAACTTCAATGTCCAAAATCAACTTAATATATCAAAATAGATGAACTTTTCATCAGAAACTTCAGAAAGTGAGTGTCGAAAATCTAGCGCATAGGCAGGGATCTTTGCACACCAGAGCAACTTGGAAGTTTATTCAGCAACAGGTGGTAGATTCAGGCATAACAATAAACAGGGAAACATTATATAATTGGATATATTTGGCGTCAGTCAGCTAAAACAACGGATACACAATCGACAGATAGACAATCAAAGAACTTGTGTGGCTTTACTTCTATTTATCTTGTTTTTGGTACTACTATTCAGGCCATGGCCTTCTAGAGTACATAAGTTCCAACCAGGCAAATTTTATTGTCAGTGAATGCACAAAATCGTAGTAAGTGAACAATTTTGAGTTGTATTTTTTACAGTCCCAGCACCAGAAGTCGCATTAATGGTGAGTGTTATAACATCAGTATTTAAAAGAATAAAATTCAGAGGCTATTATATAATAAGGATTCGAAGTTTTGCGTGTTTCCGTTAGACATTTTCTGATGCGGCAATTCATTTTTATTTTAAACATGATGCCAGAGTGTGAACTTGTTGATTATTGTCCAAGATCTGAATTTCATGCGTGTTTTGGCTTGTTGGGTGCCGACGGTTGAAATGAATAGATTTGCTAGACTGTAGTAAACTTGTAAAACGATCTTGCTAATGACAAATGTATGAATGGGAGGAAACTTTCTATCTCTCCTGTGTTACAAATATAATGGAGTGGGCTGATGAATGTCTGCTTAGTTTTAACACTAGCAAACCCAAGCGAAATAGGCCCTGTTTTGACAAGAAGGATAGTTAGGCTGCTAACATTTGCATGTATTGATTTGCAAATTTAGGTAATGACTTATTACAGCAGGGGCCTGGGGTGGGCTTTGGATTATTCGGTGTGGGGAGGAGAGCTGCTTCTGTCCCGTGATTTTTAGCAGTGTTAAAAACCCTGTAGGAGCTAGCTTTGTTTCTCCATATCTGGACACAGCACATTTAATTACTCTATTAGTCTGATGGGTCTTTGAAGGTCTTCTCCGGTCGTCGGTCTCCAAATGAGCTTAACACATGAAGTTCCTGCACACAACATTTCAAGCATAAAGTGCACACTGCAGGGGGGGGGGGGCGTCCTACAACAAACACAAACCAAACGCTTTGGGTCCAGCAGGACTGGAATGGCCTAGGTTTTTGCTTTTCAGCGGGGGGGGGGGGGGGGGAGGGGGGGGGGGGGGGGGGCGGCCGTTGCATTGTATACATATCTTATCACTATCATGCTAATCAGTCCATTCCATTCGGCGCGAAGACAGCTGAGAGGGTGCTAAGCCAGCGTAGTGGTCCTAGGCCGCAGTTCAAGCGCACAGACAGAGGCTGAGCTTTTAATAGCCATAAAATGGCCACATCAACATTTCAAAGACTGAACAACAGCTAGCCTACACTTTTAAACTAAAACACGTGTGGTTGAGGAACAGCAAATGATCAGATGCATATAGCAGACAACAGTGACGTGCGGTGAGGATTGTGGATTGGGGAGTGCACGGACTTTAAATGTCAGTTTTACTGTCATTATTAAAATAAAATAGCCTTTAATCACCGGATGCAATATCATTTCACAAACTTCCCAGGCTGAAAAAGATGAGAAACTAGCTTCTTTTAAAAATCTCACAACCAATCTAGTTGCTGACTCTCTGCTCCGCATCAACAATAATCTTTAAGAAATCAGGTGGAGAGACGTGACAGAGAAGAGAGACGTGAGCAGAAGAGGAGACGTGAAGCAGAGAGAGAGAACGGTGAGCAGCGAGAGAGAAGCAGAGAAGAGACGTGAGCAGAGAGAGAGAGACGTGAGCAGAGAGAGAGAGACGATGACAAGAGAGAGAGACGGTGAGCAGAGGAGAGAGAGCAAGAGAGACGTGAGCGAGAGAGAGAGACTGAGCAGAAGAGAGAGAGACGCGAGCAGAGAGAGTGCGAGAGAGGAGAGCAGAGAGAAGACGTGAGCAGCGAGAGAGAGACGTGAGCAGATAGAGAGAAGCAGAGAGAGACGATGAGCAGAGGAGAGAGAGACGCGAGCAGAGAGAGACTTGAGCAGAGAGAGAGAGACTGAGCCGAGAGAGACGTGAGCAGAGAGAGAGAGACGCGAGCAGAGAGATACGTAGCAAGAGAGAGAGACGCGAGCAGAGAAAGAGAGCAGAGAGAGACGTGATCAGAGAGAGAGAGACGCGGCAAGAGAGAGACGTGAGCAGAGAGAGAGAGACGGAGCATATGAGACGTGAGCAGAGAGAAGACGTGAGCAGTGAGAGAAAGAGTCCGTGAGCAGAAGAGACGTGAGCAGAGAGAGACGTGAGCAGAGATAGAGGCGTGAGCAGAGCTAGAGGAGAGAGATTGAGCAGAGAGCGACGTGAGCAGAGAGAGATAGACGGGAGGGAGTGGAGAGAGAGAGCCGAGAGAGACGTGAGCAAGAGAGAGCGACGCGAACCGAGAAGAGAGAGCAGAGAGAGACTGAGCAAGAGAGAGTGAGACTCGAGCGAGAGACGACGTGAGCAGAGAGAGAGAGACGTGAGCAGGGGAGAGATATAGAGACGTGAGCAGAGAGAGACTGAGCAAGAGAGACCGTGAGCAAGAGAGAGAGACGCGAGCAGAGAGAGACGTGAGCCGAGAGGAGACGTGAGCAGAGAGAGAGAGCATAGAGAGAGCTTGCGCAGAGAGAAGGAAGACGCGAGCAAGAGAACGTGAGCAGAGAGAGCGAGACGTGAGCAGAGAGGAGAGACGTGAGCAAGAGAGAGAGAGAGACTGAGCAGAGAGAGAGAGACGTGAGCAGAGATAGAGAGAGCGAGACAGAGAGGAGAGAGACGTGAGCCAGAGAGATAGGGTGAGCAGAGAGAGACGTGAGCAGAGAGAGAGAGACCGAGAGCAGAGAGAGAGATCGAGCAGAGAAGATGAGACGCGAGCAAAGAGAACGTGAGCAGAGAGAGAGAGAGAACTGCGCAGGAGAGACGGAGCAGCAGAGAGAGAGACGTGAGCAGAAAAGAGCGAGACCGAGCAGAGAGAGAGCAGCCGGGAAGCAGAGAGTGAGAGAGAGAGTGAGCAGAGAGAAGACGGAGCAGAGAGAGAGAGACGTGAGCAGAGAGAAGAGAGGAGGTGAGCAGAGAGAGAGAGAGAGAGAGGTGACAGAGAGAGAGAGACGCGAGCAGAGAGAGAGAGAGGTTGAGGCAAGGAGAGAGAGACGTCGAGCAGTGAGAGAGACGCGAGCAGAGAAGAGACGGCGAGCAGAGAGAGAGAGATGCGAGCAGAGAGCGAGATATGCGAGCAGAGAGAGAGAGATGGCGAGCGAGAAGAGAGAGAAGATGCGAGCAAGAAGAGATGGGGGGGGGGGGGGTGGGGGAGGGGGGGGGGGGGGGGGGGGGGGGGGGGGGGGGGGGGGGAAAGGGCGAGCAGAAGAGAGAGGCGTGAGCAGAGAAGAGAGAGAGAGACGTGAGCAGAGAGAGAGTGACACAAACTCTCAATTGCATTCTTCATGGAGAAATATTAGTTGGATCATTTCTCTGTATTGTCAACATTAGGCAAAGGTTAAAGTACATTTATGTAGATTGAAAAATAAAATGAAGCATTACCTTAAATAATCGTTCGGTTTTCTCTTTGAAGAGCGTGGGCAGCAAAATTAGTGCTGCTCTGAAGTCAACATCTGTGAGAAAAATAATAGTTAATATTTTATTGGCAAATACTGCCCTCTAGTTTCCTCAAATCATGTTTATAGGCACTCCCTTCACACGGGTGAGAGGAGCCCCTAGTCCTTTTAGCAAGGAATTTTAGCATCATAATTGTGGAGGGACAGCATTATGTATGAAATCTGCCAACAGTAGTTTAACATTTATATGTTTGTATTAACAATTTAATTGATCATGATTTATATAATTCTCAAACATATGAAATTCTTCACTCACTTTTTGACATTATACGTATGAAATTCTTCATACGCATGTCAAAAAGTGAGCCCGAAGGTTTGTAAAAATGATGGGGGAAAATGTTACAAGGAAACTCACCCCATGCCCTCTTGATTGGGCCCCAAAAATGGAGACAGTTTAAAACACAAATGGATCTGATTTATTGATTGATTGATTGATAATAAGTGAGCTAAGGAGAAAAATACCATTTAATTCCCTTCTCTGGTATCAGTTCATATCGAGTATCGGCAGACATTGAAAGCCAAAGTATCAGGATCGGTATTGGACTTACAAAAGTTAGATCAGTGCATTCCTAAAAATTGCCATTTGGATTTGATTGTGGTAAAATGTGCTGCCCTACTCCCAATATTTGCTGTATATAGAAGTTATAAACCTTGTAGGTCGTCTGCCAGAATGTCCTCCCTGGCAGCAGAATGTACTTTGGTCAGTGGACTTTTTCCTTGGGCCAACTCGATCACTTTAGGCACAATTTTGGTCAAATTCTGTCGCCAGCGTTGACACAAAATGGTATTTACTGGATGCATCCTGTCCATTTCGGTGCATAGCTATAAAAAAGTGGGCATATACATCATAACCATTCATAAGACACAAAAACATGTTTTTTGAGCGGCCAATATAGAAAAATAATACAGTGGAATTAGTGGGGAAAATGTTATGGTAGAGTGGGTTAAATGGTTGGAGACTTTAAGTAAGATTTATTTGTATAGCGCATTTCACAGAGCAGGATCACAAAGCGCTTCACACGTTATAACACATAAAATACATATACAAGACAGAATTAAAAACAAAACACAGAAAAACACAATGATCAGTAAGTGAATTGTGGAGCAAGGGGTTAACAATACTAAAATGTATAGTAAATGGAAAAAAGTAAAGTGGGTCTGATTTGATAAAAAGTATAAATACCTAAAACGTTGAATGTGTAGTTCTTACCTCTCTGGGAGATCTCAGGAAGGGGTATTTCTTAAGGACATCCACCACTGTCATCCCACCTATAATTTCTTTCCGGCGCCAAGAAAATGTACGCTGCATACGGTCTTCTACCAATGAAGCATCGGGGTTCACCTTCTCATACTGCACATGAAGGACACGAACATGTTGCTCTATAGAGGAGGCATCTTCACCGCTTACACTTGGAAACTAATGGAAGAAAAAAGAAAAAGTAAATTTCTCTGTCTCTTTACATTGAACAATAACTGCATATCCATCCATCCATCCATCCATTTTCTACCCTTTAATCCATTTAATCCTGGGTCAGGTGGGTGGCAGTCAGGATGGCTGCTCTCTGAGTGTGAGCATAGCCTTGATCTTTCAGTGGGAGCTTTTTGGGCAAAGTGGGGTTAAGTGTCTTGCCCAAGGACACAACGACAGCAGTCATCAGTGGGAGTTGGTGGAGAAGGTGCAGAGGTGGGAATTGAACCCACGACCTTCTGGGCTTAAGGCCAATGCTCTACCAACTGAGCTACTGTCGCCCCTACTAACTGCATAATCATTGGATAATGCTATATCTATAACTTAAAAAGCTGGATTATCCAACTTTGGAACCACAACGTAAAAAATATCACTAGTGCTTATATTACTAGTTTTTCACATTGGTATTATTGGCTGTCACAGCTTTAGATCAGATTTTGTAGTTAAAAAGACAGTACCAGCCCTCACTCAGCCAATCAGCTCTCAGTATGGCTGGGCAATTAATCTCATTTGCAATTATAACACAATATTATAAAGATGCAATTTTCTAATCGCAAAGACATGGAATTACTCAACAAAGATGCTCAGCTGACAAAATAAGACTTGACAAGATCCTGCAGGGAAAATAATGTCCCTGATTTTATATTTTGAATCATCGTTAAACTGCAAAAATGATCTTAGTTATTTTTCCTCAATTTGAGTCATTTTGACATTGCCAAGTAAAAACATCTGCCAATGGAATAAGTATTGTTGCACTCAAAACTAGATTTTTGTACTTAAAAAAATAATACATTTAGCTCTTAAAACTAGACAAGAAATGTAATTTTGTTCATCATACACTTTTTTTCCCAGACCAAAATTACTTATTCCATTGACAGTTTTACATTTTTAAAGTCAAAATTACTCAAATTGAAGCAAAAATATATTTTTTCATTTCAACTCACCAAGATCACTTTCGGCAGTGTAAAGTTTGACAAAAGCTCACGAGGAAAATCTGGATAAAGGACATACAGTATTTTTCATCTCGTTTGCACTTTGTTGTAATATTCACAATATTGGAGTGCTACAAAAAAAAAAAACGCAATTATGATTTTAGGCAAAAAACACTCGGCCCTAGCTCTCAGCATGTAAAATATATTGTTTTATTAGATAAAGACAGCGTGTGGTGATCCGTTTTGTTCACAAAATGTTACTTAAACCTGTGCTGGCACAAACTAAATGTATTTATGAAACAAAAAATGTAGATACTCCACCTCAGAGGATGCTCGTCTGCTGGGTCTGTCACATTCTGTCAACTCTCTGGTTCGCTTTCTTCCAAACTTCTCCTTACTTTTCTTTACTTCGTTTTCATGAATCAAAGGTGCACGCTCCAATTTAAATTTGCGCTTCAGGGATTGATGCCAGGTATTCTAAAAGTCACATAAAAAGGAAAGAAATACAAATTGAAATCGCAATCCAACATAATTTACACATCCTACTATTCACAATTGTTACCCTTTAAATTGACTATCAATTAATAATTTGCAATAATCTATTGGAACAACTTACATAGCCATTTCCTCCTTTGTCTGCTAGGAATGGATACTTTAGGATAAGTGCTTTCACCACTTGGACATATTCTGCATTTGTAGGATACCTGTTAAAACATGACAGATACTGGTGAATTATCAATACTACAATGCCCTTAAGAAGAAAGTTGTCTTAAATCAGAAAAAGAAAACAGTGCTTCTCAGCTTGTGATAGAAAAATAAAAATGCAGACAGACAGAAGTGAGTTTGGCACTTTACAGCCGCAGTCGCCCCACTGCAAATAATGCTGTTCTGTGTTATAAGAAATGTATCAAATAACAATTATGACTTACATTGTATATCCTAGGAGCGCCTCATGGAGCACACGGACAATCCTATGTCTATATTTAGACATCGTATGGCATAGCTCCTTTTTGTCTAGCAGGGCCTGTAGGTCTTTAGGGAATTGAGGACATGTAAAGTGTAATGGTAGCCTCATTTCCTTATTGTGGACACCAGGTAAGGATGGTAGGGCACTGGTGGTAGAAAATAAATTATTACAAATTGGAAAATGGCAACTGGACAAGACCACAGGTTCAAGCAGTCAAAATGGGATTCCTCCAGAGTGGCTGGGCGCTCCCTAAGAGATAGGGTGAGGAGCTCAGTCACACGGGAGGAGCTAGGGAAGTCTGGGCATATATGCTTAGACTGCTGCCCCCACGACCGGGCAATGGATGAAGCAGAAGAAAACGGATGGAATTGGGAAATGTTGGCAATTACATCAAAAGGAGCATTGCGCAACTGGTAGAGTTTTTGCACTAGTTTGCCACCTGGTGGTGTTTCATGTAACCGCATCCAATTCCGTTCAGCGCCAATACTTGAACGTTTATAACTGAGTCAGCGTCTTACCTTCTAATCAAGATAAATGCCAAATGAGGATCATGTTTTATCCAGGTTTCATCACACGAGGGAACATATGGTGGCCAAAACCGTGAACGGGCAGGCTCATTGCGTAACTGCCGCTTAGACAGCGCGCGAGAAAGCGACCCGAGTCAATCTGGAGTCAATGCATCCATGCCCGAGATACATTCACTGTATGCACTCATAGAAGCAACCACAGTGAATCTGCAAATGCTCATTCTACACACCAGGCCAGTGCTGATGGACTACAGATGGCTCTTTCAACTTACGCAATGCACCTTTAATGCAATATTCTATTTTATTGTGGAATGTATTACACTTGACAATATTCTCAGAACAGACTATCAAGTCACTCCTCACTTTCAGTGACTCTAAAAGGCCAATCCATAATAATAAGAAGCAAAAACAAGCAGATCTTATGTTTTTAGCCCAAGGTGCAAGAACATATAAATTGGCCTTAAATAGTGTCAGTTTGAGAAGCCATCTTATCCCCAATAACAGATTACTCCTCAAGTACATTGCCACAGAATGATGAAATGATCCTTGCTCTGATACAAATAGGAGTATCTCAGATAAACACTTTTTGGAGTTTTGACATACCTTTCTCCGGTGGGTTGGTCGTACTCTGGGACAGGCTCAAGAGTTATGGAGATAATTTTGTTTCGTCGAATAAACTGGAGAAATTGAGCTTGCTTTTTAAACGAGCTAAATAAGGAGGACACCATTGTGTCAGTCAGACCACACTCCAAGGCTTCACCGTCAACTTCATGCTCTATAAAGAGAAAGCCTCTCTCGTGCGCAAAGAGCGCGGGAGAGAGAAAGACAATATACATCGATTATTTTTTTTACATACAAAAGGCAAGATATCACACATAGCGTTTACCTGCTCACGAGGAATTCAACACATCGTAGTTAACGGTCATCTAGTAATGCTTTGAATTACTAGCCTGATTGCTAGGTTAGTTTAGCTACGGCTAACCGGTTAGCCGTAGCTAAAATAGCCTAGCAATCAGGGTGCCTACCTGGGTACACCGCTGTACCACATAAACTTTACCCTATTTTTTAAGGACGGGGATAGTCCTCCCTTCAAGACACACGGCCAAAGCGGGATATAGCAGCCCTCCCAGTGTCTGAAAATAGCCGATACACTCTCCGTGTATTCATATAGGTTAGCTAGACAGAAAACATGCTGTCACTTTTTATTATCAATATCTTGAATATGCGATATAAAGTTCAGTGATTTACTTCTTAAGGAGAGTAGGCTGCACGGTAACGTATGGCATATGCCTAGCTAACGTGAGTGATTCCTGGACGCTAAACAATAAGCAACGTTGATGGTCACACATCATTATACCGGATGAAAATACTGAAGCCAGTGAGAAAAATAAATTATTACCTCTGAATCTCTGTGCTTCCTCCTCGGTAACATTAATACCAGACTCTTGCAGCTTCAGAAGAAGTTCCTCCGTGGTGAAGTCCATTTTAGCGGAGTTGTGCCGAGTTTGTGCGCGAACCTGGCGCGGACTGAAGGCAGGAGGCGGTTGGAATTCAAATCTCCGTCTCGCCGCGCGCGCACACAGCACAAACCTTCAACGCATATCTAGATACTAAATATACTTTTATTTTGCATATACATGTCGTTGTTTTCCGCTCTATATTTTGCGTAAATGTTTTTTTAATCGCCGTTAAATTAATTTTATTCAGGTCTTGCGTCATCATCAAGCGCCTTCGATGCCTTGTCGCGGTAGAAATACGTCACGTTTAGCAGCTTGCGAGCTGAAATCATATGCTCTGTTGAGCGATTAAAATGGGGAATAATTATTGTAGGATTTTGCTTCGGAGTTAATACAGAAAGTGATTGCATGTATAAGAGTGAGCTGAGGAGAAAATATATCTATCTATTTTTCTGTGTCAAAATTGCCAAAAGGAATAAAAGGGAAATGTTCTCAACCTAGAGTTCAAGAACTTGGACTGTGGGCTGTTTTGTAAAACGTACTGTCAAATCATGTGTGCTCATAATGTGAATCAAAAATAAAATATATTTAAATAAATGTATTTTGTAACGCCCAAAATAATCTCTGAGCTCATAACAAAAAAAGGAATGAAAAGGCAGGGTTTTTTGGAGAGTCAGATGTGCATATTTATTTGTTTAGCCCAAAAGCACATTATTGGATGTATCAGAATGTGCATTGAATTGATCACAATTGTATAGTCTATATTCTGACCCAGAATGTTTTGACTTCCAATATATCATATTTTGTGTAGCAGTCTAATGAGTGCAAAGTAATTCTAGTAATCTAGCTGTGTGCTTTCAATTCTCTTGAAACATTACCCTAAATAGTTGGGTTAGGGTATTCAAAAATCTTGTCTGTCTGAGCACATTAACACAGGTTCAATATATACAATGGTAGAATAATATGCATTGTACCCCTACGTCAAAGAATGAGGGTACACATTTGGGCCCTTTCATCAGTGGGAACATATTTGTACCATTAAAGGCCAAAAGGGGTACATATCAGTATCTTCTGGCACAAATTTGACCCATCGAGGGTACATGATTTGAAATTGTACCTTAAAGAACATAAATGTACCCTTAGCGTACCCCTATTTCTAACAGTGTACTACTGCTACCAATACTATAATTCTACTACAATTTCTGCTGTTACTGGTACTAGGCAAGGCAAGTTTATTAGTATAGCACAACTCATATACAAGGCTGGATTGCTATATTATTACTACAACTACTACTGCAGCTACTTATAATAATAATACTGATAATTCTACTACAATTACTATTACTACTACTACTCATACTGCTTCTCCCTCTCCATGTCCACTTCCCTCTGCTCTCTCCCACACTCTGGAGCAGTGGCTGGGGTCAGAATAGAGGCACATTGCCGTTAGCCATAGCCTCTCTGTAGCCTCTCTCCCTGTTTACACATTCAACACCACATGCTCCTCTTTTTCAAGTCCACACCAAAGACCAGGACTGAGGACCACAGCGAGCCCAAAGTACTGCACTGAGTTTACCTTCAGCACAACTGTTGGAACTTGTTTATGCTGAATTTGTCTCTTCAAAGACTCTTCCATCAAACATGGTTAAGAAGGATACATTTAAAGGGGTTGCACGTAACTCTTGGTGGTCTGATGAAGTCATTACAATTACAATCCAGCTTTTTTGAACGAGATCGCGGATGCAAGGGGTCGAAATGAGCTTCCTCCGCAGAGTGGCTGGGCGCTCCCTTAGAGATAGGGTGAGGAGCTCGGGCACACGGGAGGAGCTCGGAGTAGAGCCGCTGCTTTTCCATGTCGAGAAGAACCAGTTGAGGTGGCTCGGGCATCTGGATTATGTCTCTCAGCTGTCCTGGGAACGCCTTGGGATCACCCCAGATGAGCTGGAGGATGAGTGTGTGGGGAGGGAGGTCTCTGGGGGTCTCTGCTTAGACTGCTGCCCCCGCGTCCCAGCAACGGATGAAGCGTAAGAAAATGAATGGAATGGATGGAGAATCTTCCTGCCTGCAACACATGCAGCTCTGAGCCACTTTTTGTTGTTGTGATATTGCAATTTAACAAAAAATGGAGACAAAACCTAGCTAACTGCCGACCCAAATGAGGGCCTCGTTCTGCTCTCTGGATAATCTGCTCGGATTATGGACAACCTGTTCATTGTATTTTTAATGAATAACTCCAAACAGCTTTTGTTCAGAAAAGGTCATTTGTGATTGGTTCATGTCGACCCATTATCTTTCATGTTCAGTTTTTGTTGCAGCGGTGCACATGACATCAGGACCCCCTGAGGCTGGAGGACCCTGAGGCTGGAGGACCCTGAGGCTGGAGGACCCTGAGGCTGGAGGACCCTGAGGCTGGAGGACCATGAGGCTGGAGGACCCTGAGGCTGGAGGACCATGAGGCTGGAGGACCCTGAGGCTGGAGGACCCTGAGGCTGGAGGACCCTGAGGCTGGAGGACCCTGAGGCTGGAAGACCCTGAGGCTGGAGGACCCTGAGGCTGGAGGACCCTGAGGCTGGAGGACCCTGAGGCTGGAGGACCATGAGGCTGGAGGACCCTGAGGCTGGAGGACCCTGAGGCTGGAGGACCCTGAGGCTGGAGGACCCTGAGGCTGGAGGACCCTGAGGCTGGAGGACCCTGAGGCTGGAGGATCCTGAGGCTGGAGGACCCTGAGGCTGGAGGACCCTGAGGCTGGAGGACCCTGAGGCTGGAGGACCATGAGGCTGGAGGACCCTGAGGCTGGAGGACCCTGAGGCTGGAGGACCCTGAGGCTGGAGGACCCTGAGGCTGGAGGACCCTGAGGCTGGAGGACCCTGAGGCTGGAGGACCCTGAGGCTGGAGGACCATGAGGCTGGAGGACCCTGAGGCTGGAGGATCCTGAGGCTGGAGGACCCTGAGGCTGGAGGACCCTGAGGCTGGAGGACCCTGAGGCTGGAGGACCATGACACTTGATCATACACTCAGACATTCTGACCAGTAAAACAAAGAACAGAACCAGGGACAAAGGGCAGCCTTGGCCCAAACTACTACTGCTACTTGTACTGCTACTACTACTACTACTACCACTGCTACTGCTACTGCTACTGCTACCACTACTGCTACTACTACTACTACTGCTACTACTACTACTCCCACTTCTACCGCTACTACCACTACTACTGCTACTGCTACTGCTACTGCTACTACTGCTACTACTACTGCTACTGCTACTGCGAGTACTGCTGCTACTGCTACTACTGCTACTACTACTGCTACTACCGCTACTGCTACTACTGCTAGTACTGCTACTGCACTACTGCTACTGCTACTACTGCTACTACTACTGCTACTGCTACTACTGCTAGTACTGCTACTGCTACTACTGCTACTGCTACTACTGCTACTGCTACTACTGCTACTACTACTACTGCTACTGCTACTACTGCTACTGCTACTGCAACTATTGCTACTACTACTGCGACTACTGCTACTGCTACCACTACTACTGCTACTGCTACTACTGCTACTGCTAGTACTGCTGCTACTGCTACTACTCCTACTACTACTGCTACTACCGCTACTGTTACTGCTACTACTGCTACTACTTCTGCTACTACTACTGCTACTGCTACTGCTGCTACTGCTACTGCAACTATTGCTACTACTGCTACTACTACTGCAACTACTGCTACTGCTACCACTACTACTGCTACTGCTACTGCTACTACAACCACTACTGCTGCTACTACTATTGCTACTGCTACTACTACTGCTACGACTACTATTGCTACTGCTACTACTACTACTACTACTACTATTGCTACTGCTACTACTACTGCTACGACTACTACTGCTACTTCTGCTACTACTACTACTACTACTATTGCTACTGCTACTACTACTGCTACAACTACTACTGCTACTACTGCGACTACTACTGCTACTACTGCTACTACTACTGCTACGACTACTACTACTGCGACTGCTACTGCTACTACTGCTACTACTACTGCTACAACTACTACTGCTGCGACTGCTACTGCTACTACTGCTACTGCTACCACTGCTACTGCTACTACTACTATTGCTACTGCTGCTACTGCTGCTACTGCTACTACTACTACTACTACTGCTACTGCTACGACTACTGCTACTGCTGCTACTGCTACTGCTGCTACTGCTACTGCTACTACTGCTACTGCTACTACTGCTACTGCTGCTACTACTGCTACCACTACTACTACCACTACAACTACTGCTACTACTTTTCAGGAAACGTGTGCAGAAGCCCAGCCATAAACTGCTTTATTTCTGGAGGCAAGTTGAATCCCTTTCTACAGTATACCAGGGCAGCATACTGTAGAAAGTAAACTCAGATCCTATCGTTTCAATCTGCAAAAGGAGTTAACCCCTCCCACCTGTTCATGGAGTCAATGGAGCAAATCCAGACCTTAGTAAGAAATGAAATTAGTACAATGTTTTGGTACGACCTGAACTAATCCCTTTTAGCTCCCCAGTTTGTTAGCTAGATCTTACTATGTGCTACGACGGAAACTATGGGAGGTTCTGTGGGTGCGACACTAGTTGACGTCAGTGCTGGTCTTCAGTGCCGGTCTTCAGTGCTGGTCTTCAGTGCTGGTGAAGGCAGTGGATGTGACAGTGAAAGCTTTAGAGAAACATTTCTGTGTTCTCTCTCCTCAGCTTTATTCTGCTGCTGCGTCCGAGCTCTCGTCTCTCTCTCCCAAACCTGATTACGTGGCTGCCATCCGTCAGCATTACAAACACACACATTTACAGGCCGCGGGGAGGGCGCTGCACGGACGGGAAATACACTGGAAATGGGACCGCAAAAAACACAAGCAACCGGGACGACACACAAGGCAAGTTTATTTTCACAGTTCATACACCTGGCAACAAACCAAGATAGAAACCATACAATACATTTCAGTCTCAGTACATAGATAAGAGTGAAGGTCAAATCCTTCCGTTGTAGC